ATTCAGTATGACTGCTGTTCTTATAAGAAAAGGAAATTTGGACACAGACATGCGTACCCTCAAGGGCAAGACCCTGTAAGGACACAGTGAAAAGGCAACATGATCTGCAAACTTCAGAAGACATTGACCCTGCTGACAACTTGATCTTGAGCTTCTAGCCTGTGGAACTCTGAGATAATAAATTATGTTGTTTATGTCACCTAGTCGGTGGTATTTTGTTATGCCAGCCTTAGAATATTAATATAAAGGTCAATTTTATTGTCCTATTATATAAGACATATCACAAAAACAATTTGACTGTTGAGCAAGGATTATAATTACATGACTTACAGATCTTTAGGACCTGCAGGAACAATGACCTAAATTTTGTTCATAATATCTGACTATCAGTTACCAAGTAAGAATAAAAATATCACAGTGTTAGGATGTATAATTTACATTAAATCTTTTTGACAAAAGCCAGAGGATATTGGGTATGTGCTGGTTAAGTCTTAACTCTAAGGAGAGTCAATTGACTTAGTCAAGAAAGCAAACTCCAGGGTGGCCACCCACTGTTGTTATTAACATAACACATAAGGCCACAACAGAGGAAACTACAGTTCAGCTACCCACAGCTTGAATAATACCCAAAGCTTTGCTAAATAGCATAGGCAATATTAGATGTTGGGTTTTTATTTGCAAAAACTAGTGACATATTAGGTAGCATAATGAATGATAGAAAATGGTTTTTAAATAAAGGTATTTAAGATACATGTTTCAACTAAAGCATTTTAGAGGCACACCCTACCCTTGAAATACAGGATATAAACATCTAGAACAACTGTACCTTGCACTCTTAAGAATGATACCAAAGATTTAATCCCTAAAAGATTCTATGTCCAGTCAGTGGTGTGCACAGCTGAATGGATAAACAAATTGTGCTTTATCCATATAATAAGATACTACTCAGCAATAGCAATAATGAAAGACTGCTACACATGAGAACATGGGGGAATCTAAAAAATGCGATGAATGAAAGAAACCAGGCACAAAAGAGTATGTATGATTCCACTGATTTGAAGGCTATAATGGGTAAAGTAAATCTAAGGTGATAGAAATAAGAACATCTATTGTCTCCAGAAGGTGAGTTGACTAGAAAGGCACACATAAAACTTTCTAGGGTGACAGAAATATTCTGTCTACAGATGGTTTTGCAATTATCATTGTCTTCTCCCTCCATCTGAAGGAAATAGAAAATCAAAAAATAATGATGTATTAAGAGAGTTACATGCAAGAAAAATGACTTAGAATTATAATCTCCAGACACATCCTCATAGGTGAATGAATGCCTGTTTGTGTGGTATGCTAAAACCTTTTAAAATTGATTTTAATTTGTGCCAATGGTATAATAATATTCTGTGTATAATGTGCACAAAACGTTAATAGTAAAATTAATTTTATTAATATAGTAACAATATTTCCAAATTCTTAATAAAATTATTGTAAAGTTTTCTCATAATTATATAACAATAATGTAAATAAAACAATAAGTAAGTAAAACAATAAATCAATAGAGAAATAAAACAAGAAAACTACTTTGATATCTCAGGCAGGAGTGGGAGGGGAGATGGAGGATGCTTTCCAGTTGCTTGAAGTCCTTGGTGCATGTCTCAGTCTAGTACAATCAGGAAAGAGAAACCATACAATTTCAACAGAAAAATTTTAAGGATTAATAAACAGTGTGTTAGAGTAACAAGAGAATGAATAATATGAAGAACAGAAAACTCTGCTATTCCTATTCCTGTAGGAATAGCAGACATAAGGTGCAGCCTCTACTCCTAGGGCAGGGTAGGATAACCAGGGAAGAGGCCTCTAGCCCCACCCTCAGGGCTGAGACCCAGATGTTATTGAAAAGACACAGCTGTGGCTCACTGGATGAAAGGGAAGTCGCTGTGGTGCTGTACCAGCGCAACTTGCTAGAAATCCATCCTCTAGAACATGGCAGAAAATCATCCTCTAGGACACTGGGGAAAGCTGTTCACGGGGAGGTGTCTCACTGCAGGCTCTCTTCCACAGAATCACCCCAAAACAGGGGGGTTCTGAAGGAAACTCCTGGGCACTGTGCACTGCAGGAAACTGGTGCAAGTGCTCTGCATGAACTGGACACTGGAGAAGACTCCCATGGTGCGGGATCCTGATGAGTGAGCACACGGAAAGCAGAAAGCAGAACCTTTTCTTCCTGACTCTCTACTACAAAGCTTAACGTTGTGTCAACTGGCAAAGGAAAATGGTCGAAGGTTCCAGATCCACCTCCACAGAAGAAGCAAGGGTGAATTTAGAGCTGAGAGTCAATAAATTGATTCCTTCAACTACTTCAAGCTTCTCTATGCAACACACACATTCTTCTACACACATTTGAAACATGTACAACAACAAAATAATTCTATACTTCTATCTCCTTCGAGATATAGAAATCCGTCTTGCAACTGAAGAACTTTTCATTCTTTCTCCAAAATGAAGAGATGCACAACTCCAAAAGTCATTGACTTTATCACTGATTACATTAATAGTTCTTCAAATTCAGGGACAGTCCTTCCTAAATTTTTTTTAAAAGCAGGATCTTGTTCTGTCATCCAGGCTAGAGAACGGTGTCATGATCACAGCTCAGTGTAACTTTGAACTCCTGGGCCCATGCAATCCTCCTGAGTAGCTAGGACTACAGGTGGGCACCACCATGCCTGGCTAATTTTTTTAATTGTTTGTAGAGATGTTGTCTTGCTATGTTGCCCAGGTTGGTCTTGAAATCCTTGCCTCAAGTGATCCTCCTGCCTAAGCCTCCCACAGTGCTGAAACTACAGGTGTGAGCCACTTCACTCAGCCTGAAAATTCTGTTACCTTTACACTAAATTATAAAGTTTATTTCCAATAGCCTGTACATAAGATAAAAACACGATATAGGGAGAGAAGAAAATGTTTAGCATATGTGCTGTTGTCTCCCATTCAGGGCTCTAGCTTGATCTTCAGTAAAATATTCCGCCTTTTGATTAGGGTTCCTGTTTCTGGGTGATGGAATATGTAGTAAGATCAGTTAATTACAAGAAAATTCAGAATCCTTTCTGAACAGTCGGAATGATTGATATCATTGATAAAATAACTCAGAATTTCGACTTTCTTAATATAATTCCTTATTTTGGAAAGTTTCTCCTACAAATCATGTACTTATATAAAAGCAACAAATTATTAGTAGAAGGAAGCAAGACTACTTTGATTTTTCAGGCAGAAGTGAGGTAGGGGAGATGGGGAATGCCCTCCCAGCTGCTTAGGGTCCTTGGTATGAAATTTATTTTTCTTTAATATTCAGTTTGAGATCAGAATCAAAAGAAATGGGCAGTTCTTTCTCAAATCGATCTGCATAAAGTGCTCATGATACTATGATGAGTCCTTTTGGGCAGTGTGGCTGAGCTGATGACAATGAGTCACTTGAAATTATTTGTCTTATCAGTGGTAGATGAGAGTGTGGTCCAAAACCAGGAAAGAAGGAAGGGACTGAGGCAGGAACATTAAATGAGCATACATTTCTTTTTCATAATTTTATATATCTGATACATCATTCACCTTCCTCACAGCATTCCAGAAATCACTTAAACATATTTATCACATGTAGTCATATCACCACACCCTAAAACATACTGTTGACATCTTGGTTCACCATTTGGCTAAGGAGTGCCATTGCCCACAATTTACTAATTTGATCTATATTTTCAGGGTCCCCATGCACCTACCCTTGTAGACATTATAGTGTGAGCTAAATGGCTGCTAAAGAGCTCTCTCCTCCTTCTCCTTTTCCTCCAAAGCACTGGTTATCCTCCGAGGCAGCAAGCAGACAAGGAGTTTCTTATACAGTTCTTTCCACTCTAGACATAAGAAAGTCACACATTTATACTTTCCAGCAGCTGCCTGGAATCCAGTACCATTGTAACTCTTATCAGTATTTCTAACAGAGCTTGGCATCGCAAAACTTACCACATGACAGATTATCAAAATGTTACTATAAAAGAATCAATCTTTGGCCAGGTTCAGTGGCTCATTCCTATAATACTAGTACTTTGGGGGGCAAAGGTTGGAGGATTGCTTGAGCTCAGGAGTTTGAAACCAGCCTGGGCAACATAGTGAGACCTTTTCTCCACTAAAAATAAAATTAAAAAAAAAAAATCAGCCAGGCATGGTGGTGCGCACCTGTAGTCTCAGCTACTCAGGAAGCTGACTGAGGTGGGAGAATTGCTTGAGGCTGGGGGTGAGGGTCAAGGCTGCAGTGAGCTATGATCATGCCACTGCACTCTAGCCTAGGTGAAAGAGTAAAACCCTATCTCAAAAAAAAAATCAATCTTTAATATTTCAATAGTGAAACCATGTAACAACAGAGTGAAAGCAACAAGTAAAAGTGTTAGTAGCTAGAAGAGATGAACGGAATTTCATAGAAAAACTTACAATGTAGATTTGCATAATTAATATATCAATAGAATAGAAGGTATTTTTATAACTGTGAAAAAGTCTTTGGAGAAACACTGACGAATTCTAAATCTTCATTCTCCTTGTGCACTATTCCTAGTTGCCAGAACTCACATCGCTGTGACAATTTTCTGAGTCCTTCATGATTCTAATGAAACTTTCACCGTTGGCTAATAATTTCTCATAATTCTTCCTAAATAGAGTTACTGAGACAAGATATCCTGAAACCTGAATAGCATAGTTGGAGCCAGAAAAAATAAATTCTAAGAAAATATCCTATGAATGACCAGCTCAAGAATGCAAACTTGCAAGGTAAGAACATGAGAAGCTTATCTTTCGTTTTCTGGGTTACTTGAGAGATTAAATGATAAATGAAAACCAAGGTTATCCTAGACCATATCAACATTCCCATAGTCAACCACTTAATGCAGTCACGGTCAAGGAAAGGTCCTTGAGAACCTGATTGTTAGGTGGTAAGAAGTATGTCTCCTCCATCATTCTAGAATACTATTTCCTATTACGCAGTTTCTTCAATTAACAAAAAGCTTCTAAAACAAAGTTTACCTGACATGGGACACAGCAGGAATTGCAGAATTATATAGAAATGCCTGGATGTGCTCAGCTCTCTTTGCCTCACTCACCATCATAAAAGTAAGAGATCTTTGAAAATGCCACAGGAAGATACACTGAGTCTCTGAAAACTTCTCTGGCATAGGCAGTTTGTGTTCAGCTCCCGCTGCAGACCCAGGCACTGTGGCACCCGCAGCACAGAAGTACTCAGCAGCATCACTCCAATGCACAGAGTGTTTCCTCAGGTTGAAGGAATATTGACTCCTCTTAAATTCAGCCTCAAAGCCTTTAATGCCTTGAACCAGAGTGTCTCCTGAAAAGTACTTCAGGAGCAGCTGGAGGCCTTGGCCGGGGGACTGGACATACCAGAAGAGAGAAGGTGTTGCCCCATAGGAATAGTTACATCTCAACTCCAGTGAGGCTCCTTCAGAGACAGTGATGTGGATGTCAGGCTGGGTCACTGACTGGGCTCTGGCAGTTCCTGGAAAAACAATGTGCTATCAGTGAAAGCAGTGCAGACTCAGTATAAAAAGTAAGCATTTCTAGTCAGAACCTGTGAAACTAAAGACCATAAAGAAATTTTACTCACTCAGGACAAAATGTATCCCCAGCAGTGGGATGAACACCAGGAGCATGACTGAGCAAGGGAAACACTATAGGCTCTTTTCTGCAAGATCTCCAGAGAACAAGAAGGAAAGTGGCTGAAGAGACCAAGAACAAGAAGTGTGCGGAAGGTTTGCTGGACGAGCTCCTTGCTTATATAAAACTACAAAACCTGCAGAGATGAATGTGGTTGCTTTTAAACCTCTGATTCTTGTCACTTGTCTCTGTCTAGAAAGAACTCAACCAGCTGCAGGAAGAAGAAACTGAGCAGTGGATTGATCTTCAACACAAACAAAAGCTCCAGTTTGTGCAGCCTCGCCCTCTGGAGGCCAAGTGCAGAACGGGAGTTTAGCAGAGACCGCTCATTAGTGTGTTCTTCCTGTTTCCTGAGACGTATCAAAACTTCCACAGGACGTGTTTCTTCCTGACCAAATCTATGATGGTGTTTTAGTGCTAGAGTCCATTAGCAATAAGATTTCATGTAAAAATGGAGTAATACGTCACCTCACAGAGGAATCGTTATTGAAAGTATATCAGAATTTAGATATGAGTCCATGAGAGTCTGGGCTCAGACCAATTGCCCTGGACTGAGTTTTGGATGGTTCAGTGTTGCCACAGTGGTGATGGAGGATGGTAGAGATATTTCCCTCGGATGGTGCGTGTGCAGCCATAGAGGAAAAGATTTCACATAAGGAGAGTAGTGCCTCCATGCAACTAATGACAAGGCATAACTCATGATGGGAAGGCTTTGCCTCTAGGGTAAAGAAAATAACACTACAGAAACCTCTGGAGCTGAAGGAAATACAACCACAACAAGCGAGAAATAAAAGTTGAAATTTAAAAATAAAAACAAATAATAATAAATGTAGATGGGAACAAAAATAAAACTCTGAAAACATGAGAGTGGGGAAAGTCACTGCTTTTTTTGTGGTTAATGGGACCCTTGACAAAGTCAGAATACTTCTTTCCTTTGATTTGAAAGTATAAGCCCAGTTCTCTCCTTGGGTTCTTGATTCACTTGTTCCTGTCGGAAAAGACTGTCTTGAATGAAGAAAATTAAGTAATGCTATCATTTTGTAAAAGTGTAGCCTTTGAGTGTAAACTTCTAATTCTTAATGCCATATGCTCATTTCCCTTCTCTTGAATATTTCTTCCTAAACTAGAGAATAGAAATAAAATGGAAATAGACTAAAATTCACAAGAGTAGAAAAAAATGAATGTCATCTGGTGAAGGTCATCTGGTGACACATATTTCTAGGAGACAGAAAGTAGGTGGGATTATATTGAAGATTAAAGCAGAGCAGAAAAAAAAAATATTCGAAAATAAGCTATGAGGAACAACTTCTTCTGAATTTCAGAATGGTGGTCTTTTTAACTTTTCTCAAAGTTGCTGAGCATTTGCAAAGCCCAGTGTGTTCAAAGTCAAAGGCCATAGGATTGTGTGATGTCTTGGAACATTGCCTTTTGCTCTGCACTGGAAGAATGTAAAGGAATTATTCAATCCCCTATAGTAGTAGAAGCAACACCTCATAGTTAAATAAGATCATAAATAGAATATTCTCACTGAAGGGTGTTGGCAGCATTCTAAGAAATACATGATTACCTGGAAGATTTAAGGGTCTCCAAACACAGTCCCAAATACCAAAATGCATGGTTCATTTAAAGGAAGAAAAAACTCAGAAATGAAAAAAATAGGCAGTGAAAGAGAAAATTAAAAACTAATCAGCTCTGTTTTAGGTACTAAAAAAAAAGTAGTATTTGAATAGTCCTACTATGCATTAACATACTCTTAAATCCAGATATAATTCAGAATACAAAAATTTTTAGACTTTAGGAAAAAATATAGTATTTGAATTATTTATAAAAACAAGTATGCATTCTCAATTTTTTTGCACCAAAGAAAGACCTTCTTAAATTCGAAAAATAAGAAATGAAATTTCAAAAAAAAATTAAGACGTTAATTAAATCGTCTTACAATCTTGATGAGAAAAATTTGCAAATATAAAAAATGAATTAGATTAACTAAAAAGGGCAATACAACTAAAGAGGGTGGAAAAAGACAACATCAAATAGCCATTCTTGATGAATATTATGGACAACCACAAATTAATGCAGGACCATAGTAGAATAGGAGATAACTTTAAGATACCTACAGCCAATCTCTGCCATGGATTGCAAGTAAAAACTGAACAAAATACAAAAAAAAAGAAAAAAAAGAAAAAAAAACTAACTGTGGACTCTGAAATTACCCAAGAGCTAGCAGATTGTGTAGGGAAGTCAAAAATTGGAGAAGCAACCTGCACAAGGGTGAATTCCATATTTTTTCTGTTTCTTTCTCTCGACTTTGCCCTGGGGGAGGCCCCAATGCATACAACAATATGGTAATGATGTAGGAAGTCAAAACTCTGCCAGAAACACAATTTTCTGCCTCTGTGGGTCAGGCTAGAAAAGAGAGACCCTAGGGAAGAGATGGAAAATAGTTTTAAGTCTCAGGCTGATCCCAAGACTCTACATACGTGAACCTGACTCAGACCAGAACAGCAAATCTTAGGTTATTTAACTAATATTTGAATCACCATTCCAGTCTCAGACTACCCCCAAGCGGCACCCATGCAGGAGAAACTAAAACCAATGTAGCAGAGAGTTCAGGAACTGACCTGAGATTTGAGCCACGCAAACTGGTTTCACTAATCCCTGAGCTACACACGACAGGTATAAACCCAAACCAACATTGCAAATGATTAGAGAACTGAACTGTGATTTTGAGCTACCAAATTCCACAAAAGGGGAGAAACAACTAACAGTGTGAACCAAACTAGGCTGACTTTCTGCTCAAACAAAAACATTAACATTTTTTAGATGATTGTTTTTTAAAGAAGAAGGACGAGGAGGAGAAAACAGAGTGTACACACATAATATTTGAAATGTTCAAGATGTACGTCAAAATTATTTGACAAAGAGCCAGAAAAATGAACTAATAATGAAGTAAAAGATCAACAAATTCAAATATCAAGATGACTAAAATACTAAAACTCATAGACAAAGATGTCAAAGTAGCTCTTTTGATTATGTTCCACAAAGTAAAGAAAAAAATAGAAATTGAACTGAAAAATACAGTATCAAAAATAAAAATCTTACAGTAAGGGCTCAATAGCAAAATGATGATAGAAAAAAGAATATGCAAAATTGGAAATAGATCAACGTAGATTATTTAATCCAACTAATTTTGACTTCGTCTTTCCCCAGGAGACATTTGGCAAATCTGGACACAATTTTGGATGTCACAACTTGGGGTGTGTAGTGCTATAGGCATCTAATGTAGCGATGTTAAAAATTCTGCAACACACAGGGCAGCCCCATACCCCAATAAAAAAAAATTATAAGGCCCAAAATATCAGTAGTGCCAAGGTCAGGAAACACTGACAAACCTTAACATCAATTTGAAAATTGAAAGAAAAAAACACAGAGCCCTAGAGACCTGTGGGAAAATATTCTAAAGTCTAAATTATATCTAACTGGAGTCCTAGAGGGAGAGAAGATATTGGGTCAGAAAACATATTTGAAGAAAGAATGGCCAAAAGCTTGCCAAATTCATTGAAAGACATGCATTTATCAATTGAAGCCCCAAACAAGGTAAAACCAAAGAGAACCACATCTAAACACATTATAATTATATCACTGACAACAAAAGATTGTATAATTTTTCGTGTGTGTGTGTGTGTGTGTGTGTGTACACAGCTTATATATGAAGCAGCTAGAGAAAAACAATATATTACATCACTGGAGGACAATTACTTGATGGCCATGGATTTCTATTCAGACAGCATGGAGGCCAAAAGACAATGAAATGGCATCTTTAAAGTGGGGGGGGGGAAATGTTGACACAGAATTACAGACCCAGTAAAAACTATCTTCCAGAAATAAGGGGCAAGTTAAAAATACATTTTCAGATAATTAACAAAAATGAAAAATATGTTTCCCAGCAAATCTGCTCTAGAAAAAATACTAAAGGGAGTTTTTAAGTTTGAAGGAAATTTCAGTTATATATCCTGGTATCAGAGAAAACCCAAATCTTCAGGAACAAAGGAAGATACCAGCAATGATAAATAGCTGTTAAGTATAAAATAGTTCTTATTCTTCTCCTTAAGTTTTATAAAGTGCATATAATTGTTGAAAGCAAAAATTATAACATTGTATGGTAAAGTTTTCTATATATTGTGATTTTTAAACAAATTGAGACAAGGATCTCGCTCTATTGCTTAGGCTGGAATACAGAGGCATCATCGTAGCTAGCTGCAGCCTTGAACTCTTGGGCTCAAACTATCATACTGCTTCAACTTGCCGAGTAGTTGAGGCTACAGGTGAGTGCCACCATAACTGGCTAATTTCTTTTATATTTCATAGACATGGAGTCTCACTTTGTTGCCCAGGCTGGTCTCAAACCCCTGAGTTCAAGCAATCCTCCCACCTCTACCTCCCAAAGTGTTGGGATTACAACATGAGCCACTGTGCCAGGCCTGGTGAAGTTTTCAGTGTATGTGACTAATACATATGAACAACGATAACAAACTTTAGTGTTGGTAGATAAAGGGACATTGTGTAAAATTTCGACATTTCACATAAGGAGGTACAGTATTTGCTCACATAAGACCCGGGATATTTAGGCATGTACATTGCCATCTCCAGAGCAACTACTCAAAACGTACAGAGTTATAGCCAAAAAGTTCATAGATAAATTAAAATGTAAATTGAAAAGTATTTAAATAATCCAAAAGAGTCAGAAAAAAAGAACAAAAAACGGAACATGGGTGAAACACAATAATGAAATATACTTAAATCCAACCTGATTGATATTTATATTCAATTTTAATTATCTAAACTTCACAATGCAAAAACAGAGATTAACAAAGTAGATAAAAAGAAAAGATGCTCTTTTATGCTACCTACAGGAAATAGATTTTAAAGTCATAGGTAGTTTAAAAATAAATAGATGAAAAAGATACAGCATACATCAATAAGCATCAAAAACTTGGAATTGCTATTTAATATTATAAAACAGATTTCAAGGTTGAGTTCTCGAGTCACAGAAAGTCTCAGTATCTCAGGAGGTTTGTGTTCAGCTGCTCTGCAGTCTCAGGCACTGTGTCATTCACAGCACAGAAGTACTCAGCCGCATCGCTCACATGGGCTGAGGCTTTCGTCAGGTGGAAGGAGGTTTCACTCTTTTTAAATTCAGCCTCGAAACCGTTGATGCCTTTAACCAGGGTGGTCCCTGATGTGTACTTCAGGAGAAGTTGGAGTCCTTGGTTGGGGTATTGCACATACCAGAAGAGAGTTGGTGGAAAAGATGATGAGTAGTTGCACCTCAGCAGCACAGGGACTCCTTCAGAGACAGAGACTTGGCTGTCAAGCTGGGTCACAGACTGGGCTTTGGTTCCTCCTGCAACACCAATGCTGTGTAAGTAAAGGCAGCACAGACTTTGCTATGAAGAAAAGATGTCTCTATTCAGAGAAAATTACAATACAGTCACATTTACAAAAGGAAGAAAGGTAATGGAATGTTACTCACCCAGGGTAAAAATCACCTCGAGCACTGGCACGAGCAGCAGGACCATGGCTGAGGAGTGGCAACGCTGGAGGGCCCTGAGCAGGGCGGACAGAAGCCAAGGGCCCTGAGCCTCAGGAGATAGGGGCAGCAGGGAGGTTAGGCTGGACAAGTCTCTGCCTTTGAAGCGTTTCAGAAACGGTTAAAGAAAGGCTTTCTCTTAAGGAGCCTAGATGTGTTCTGACCTCTTGTTCTCATCACAGCTCCCTATCTACACAGACATCAGTGAGCTACATCAGCCAGCTGCAGGGAGGAGGCTCATTGGATGAGGGTGGTCTGCAATGAACACAGATGCTTCCTAAGTGCAACATTGCCCCCTGAAGGCCACAGGCGAAACTACGGATCCAAGGAAGCAAACTGTTTGCTTCTCATTTGAGAAATGTGGTATCAAAACCAACAGAAAGTGTTTCTTTCTTCCCAAATCGGTGATGATGTCACCTTCTGTAGAGTACATGGTTTCAATCCTAAATACATGAGAAATGAGAGTAATGTAAAAATAGAAGACTAATTTACTTTACTGAGCGATTAGTCACAGAAGACAACACTCTAGACTTTGGAATACCATTGAGACATTCTATATTATTTTGTAAAATCATTCATCAAGGAGAGGGGAGGTGATCAGTTGCCTCAGTCTGGCCTCAGCTTCATATGGCCCTGTGTTTCTGAATGTGAGCATTACAGTGGGTGAAAGAGATTATTCCTTTATTTGATTCTTAAAAGAATAAACAAATTAGACCAGAGTCTCATACTTAAAATCAGCATGGATCACATGTCATTAATTAATTAATCAAAGCAAACAAATAAAGCAAAATTTTTTTTGTTAAACGAAAATGTGAAAGAGGCCCCTTGGTTTCAGGTCAACAACTTTGATATTTGTAACTCTAGGAAAAAACAACTTAGGTATTTCATGTTTAAAAGGAGTCCTGTTTCAATTGTCAAAGCTCCTATAGACTGATATATTGTGCCAAATTATATCTCACACTAAAGAGAACATTAACAGAGGCCCGTCTATGGAGAAACTTGAGTGGAATGATGAGTGTAAGAAAATGTAACAAATAAATAATCCTGGGAAGAGTCAGGACAAGAAAAGTAAAATAAACCTGTGTTAACTCAGAAAGTTGGGAGAAGTGCAACCAGCAGACAAGACATGAGAGGACCTTGTGGGAGGTATAGTAGATTTGGGAGAGACTGACAGTGACACTCAACAGAGCTAGGTGAGCAGCAGTCCCCTGTGGGTGGGAGACAGACTGTATTGAACTGGAGCGGTCAACTCTATGGCCTAAAAAGATGAAACTCTTGAATGAGAAGCCATCTTCATCCAACTTATTTTAGCATAGAGATCATTGCATCCTAAAAAATAAAAAAACCAAATGAGGAGAGAAATCTCAGGTGAAATGAGAATCTGGCCAACAAGGATTCTTTTCACAAGGTCTGAACAAAGTCCCTCCTTTGTTTGTACTCTGTTCACTTGTGCCAGCCTGAAATCAGTTCTCCCTTGCACTTCTGATCTATTCCTTGATTCTGCCTCTAGATTTATGTGAAAGACAAAATCATATAGCCAGTTTGAAAATTTAAATGTTACTAGGATGTGCTCCTGATTCAGAATTCCTAACTAAGCATATGTATTCTCATCTTTCCAATATTCCCACTGAAATAAAATTTAGAAGTATAAAAAGAATGACTTGAATCCATAATGGTAAAAGTAATAATGAAAAGATGAAAACTATCACAATTCCCATGAAATGAAAAGTAGATGTGAGCACACTGATGGATGAAACAGAGAGCCGGGAGAAGTCAGCCCAGACTGAACTATGAGAAGATTGCAGTGGAAATGCAAGTGAAGGGAACCTACTGGGTGAGACCCTGGAGAGGTTCCAGGTTGAGAAAGAGAGTAGGTGATGGACAGTGGGAAGAACAGAACACAAGAGAACATAGTGAAGGTCTACACATGGAATAGCTGCACTAGCCTCCCTCCGTTCTCACCATCTGCTTCTGTACTTGTGTGTGATAGGCATAGTAAGCCAACTTTTACTTGGGTATTTAACTTTCACAAGAGTTTAAATGCACCACTGAGATTACTGTAGTTTTATTATGAGTGGCTGACAGAATTAGGCCATCTTCAACGATATTAGGTGCAAGGAACAAAGAGGAGCAACTTAATTACCACTTCCCTGTTCATTCATCCTAAAAAGAAGCCTGCCAAATCACATGATATACCCACATACCCACACTACTGGCCAGGCACCCCATTCAAGAAGAAACATTGTGGGGAACATGGGCACAGTGATATGAGAAGTCCATCCTGCTACCCAGTCCTCCATTCTTAAATACAAATAATAACAAAATAGCATTAATCATGTATAAGTATAGATGGGATCTCTTTCTGTTGTTCTTTCTACACATGGAAGCCCAGAGTCATGAACTGTGAACCATCAGAGTCATTTCTACCTCAATACAAAGGGATGAACAGAATGTCATGTTATCATTCCCAAAAGGAAGTAAGATAATATAGTGGTGCCTTAGTCATTATTCTTAAAACACCTTGAGTTTTAGCTTTGAGTAATATTTCCTTACCTTTATTTATATGCTTTCTGTTAAGAAGTGCTTTAACCTGAGGGAACCTAGAGGACCGGTCAATAGGTGCAGGAAACCACCATGGCACACGTATACCTATGTAACAAACTGCATGTTCTTCACAAGTATTCTGTTTTTTTTTTTTTTAGAAGAAATAAGGAAAAAAATAAAAATATACAAAAAATAAAATCACTACATGTGATTAGTGCAAAAAAAAAAAAAGAAGTGCTTTAACCTAACATTATTTCAACTCTTCAAGATCGGTAAAGCCAGCTATATAAACTCCTTCAAATAGAGAATGAAATTAAAATTCAGAACATAATTACAAAGTCTATTATTTCTTGAATGCTGCCCACATGCCAGGTGAGTTCCAAGTTAGTAGTGAACACTGCTTGTGCCCAGCCAAGATTCCCTTTCCCAGGACAGTGTCAGCATCCCCAGCTACTGTCATGGCTTTTTTCTTCCTGTAGTTCGGAGAGCGGGAGGAAATGGCATCCAGAGGCTTTTCCGCTCTCGTAGTTCAGCGAGTGAGAGAGGGTGTTACAGCTCTTTTCACTCCCACAGTTTGGTGGGTTCCAGATTCTTGTCCCACTGGCCAAGAGGAATGAGGTACGCAGACACCAGAGAGTGAGCAAGGCAGAGGAGAATTTTACTGAGTGACAGGAAACCTCTGAAAAGCAAAACGGAACCCAAAGTGTGTAGCCCTCTGGGAGGCTAAGGCCGAGTGTTTTTATGGGCTTAGAATGGGGGAGTGTATGCTGATTGGTCCATAGGTGGTCTTGGAAAAAACACCATTTGATTGGTTAAAAGGCATCACCCAGAAGGAACCAATCAAGAGAGAGTGGGTAAGCGAGGGGATTCAAGTTATGTACTCTATCCGGAACTGGCAGTTATGTACTCTATCTGGAACTGGCAGCTCGGTTTTAAGGCTTTGAACTGTCCTTGGCAGGAAGGCTGGGTTTCACCAGGGATCTGTCCATGTCTGCCTAGGAATTTGTCTGCTTCCTGTCGCTATCACAATTGGGAATGTTGGCTACTCTCAGCTCACAGTTGTCCCTTTCCCTAGAAAATCGACCTCTGCCAATGAGAGTCATCATTGTCCAGTAGAGTATACCTCTACCCCAAGAAACACCACAGCCAATGACGACCTTATTCTTACAGGTCAGCATTCTGGCCCCCTTGCCTCAGTGTGGAAAGGATCAATCCTGTGATGCAATTCATGCTCCAGAGCTCCCATGAGGTCAGGCTGGATAAAGACTCCACTAGCTGGCACGTTTATGCTTAGCCTTTTCCCATCTCAACCTGGTTTTCTCAATCAATTATGGATAAACAATTTCCAATTCAGGCTCTGCTTCTAATGAACTTATCCGAAGACAATATTTCATCTCATTTAATCCTGACTTCAATCCTGAAATATATATAACAGTGCAGCTTAATACAAATGGCCTGTTAGGAACATAATTGATATCCAAACGAGCATAGCAGCCCAGGTTCTTTCCAGAGTGCCAGGGTGCCTGAAGGCATATGATAAAAGTGACACTAAAATCTAAGTATTTTGATTTCAGTACAACTTTCTGATCATCCTCATTGCTTTACAAATCTTACATGACTTGGAAAAATTTCTTAAGTCTTCAATTCTGCAAATTAACAATTTGAAGCAAATGTTGATTGGCTTGCATCTTTCATCAGTAACTACGTGAACTAACTGAACAGAAATCTTGATTCTTCATTTCCAAAATTTTTCCACTGTACTACCTAAATAATGTCATGACTAACAGTCTACAAATTCGTTTTACAATCAATGTGACTTTTCAAGCTTTTTCCTGTAACTCAATGTACTAAATATTAAACGGCATTATTTTCATTAGGAAGTAAATATTTTTCCTGGACTTGGCATACATTGCAGGACAAATTTACAATGCCAGGTAGTCAGAGGAGGGAGGCATTTATACGTTGTTCAGCATTTCCAACTCTCCTGACAAAAATTTGCTGAAACATGCTTGATACCATATAGTCTTTGGTAATTGATTCACACAGGTCTTTGCTCATCATACTGAAGCTCCTTAGTGTCTGGACCTCTTTTAGATACTTACTCAGAGATCCTTCTCAATAAATTTTAGATTGTTCCATGCTCCCATGCCCTGCCTGGGGATACGGCATGCTATGGCTAGGGCTAATGCTCCCTATCACCTCCAAGCCACACTTAAGTACATAGGTATAAATATATTCTTTTACAAGGCTCAAGCCAAGAGTTTTAAGTTCAGTTCAGACTTTACCCCAAAATGGCAAGATAGACCCTCTCTAATATTTACTCACTGCAACTGTCTAGACTTCTAGTTTTAACCAGGTCCTACCCTCTGAATCTAGTTCTTCCGTCTATCCACTAAATACACCCTTACATAAATCAGGAGTGGTGCTGTGGCTGAGGCTGGAGATGAAGGTTCTATAACTAAAAAAATTTTTGGTTGGGCGTGGTGGTTCACACCTGTAATCCCAGCACTTTAGGAGGCTGAGGCGGGGGTATCACGAGGTCAGGAGATCGAGACCATCCTGGCTAACACAGTGAAATCCCATCTCTACTAAAAAAAAAAATGCAAAACATTAGCTGGGTGTGGTGGCGGGCACCTGTAGTCTCAGCTACTCAGGAGGCTGGGGCAGAAGAATGGCGTGAACCTGGAAGGCAGAGCTTGCAG